TTAACTCTCCATCAGTACCTACGGCTGACTACCTTCCCGCTAGGCTATACTTAGTTCCGGTAGTGGAACAGATATCACTGACCTCCACCGTCTATAAAGACCTACTTTTTAGTAAGATAGCAATAGAATGTTCACTACAAAATTCGAGAAAAAATTTCTAACACGCTTGCCTTCGGCCTTCCCGTGTTGAAAACCAAATGGCACTAGTATCCTATCTATCCATCTACTTTGCTGTACTTAGTAGCTTTGTTTAATCTTTAGGGTTACCATAGTGACTATTGTTACATGAATTTCAAGTGAAGATGTTATCTTTGTGTTATCTTGACCAACTTCATGAATAGAGTTGTTAATTTTTGAAGCGTTAATCTGTAAGCCCTTAATGCGTGAGTTTCTGTGTACATTTTTTTTAGTCACACCAGAGTGTATTCTATGTAAAAAGTGTTACACCAGAGTATATTATTTACAGAAAGTTTACACCATAGGATATTCTTTATAGAAAGTTTTACACTAGAGCATATACTTTAAGAAGAGTTGTTGGTGGGTTAAAAGGAAAAGTTTTATTAAGTAATTAGGAAGTATGTTTTGGCATTCACATAATAGAACGTAATCCTGAAATAAACACTATAAATAGTGGCATCAGTTTAAAATTATAACCCTAAACATATAATAAAAACGTTGAAATAATGTTGATAAGCAACAATACTTAGAAATAGTTTTAAATCTAGACTAAGTTAATGAAGATTGATCAAGCATGTTAAACTTTTTGTTCTTAAGCAGGTAAGAGAGAAAGAGCATTGTGTTCTTTGTTTGACATATTTTAATATTTTATCACTTGAAAACAACGCCGCGTAACAAATGAATTATTGTTACCAGGATATTAAGAAGTGTCTTGGTACACCGTTAAGTTATTTTGCAATCCAATTCCAATGAAAGCCGTCACAATAGACATTTATGATTAGATACTGATAGTGGCTGAGCTACTTATCCACCTTCACAAATTAAGGCCTTAGTTCTCGAACACACAGTGCCTTAATTTAATCTCTATCATCTGTACCTATATACTTAAAGCATTGTTCATTAACAAAAACAGATTTTTTTTATAGGGGTTTGGGGAAAATTTTAGCCATTTATTTGATCTGAAATACATATACGCCAAGATCTCTCGGGTATTTGTGTTTAAACAATGACTTTAGCTATAAAATACTAAAATAGGAAGATTGAATATGTTGTTTCACGAAGTGTGTTGCAAGTCAGATACACATCTGCCACCAACTTTTCACATGCTTAATTTAAAAAAAGCTGAACTAAGAGAAATTATAATTTATACAATAAATAAAATCACACTTAACAAATGCAATATAATTTATGCACCAGTATTTAGTAATCAAATTAAAACAATAAATTAAGAATAATTAAAATGTATATTATCAAAAGATTTAAAATTACTAAACATAAAATAATAGTATATAAAACCAATTGATTATTTAATTAAAATCAGCACAGTATAAACTAAAAGATGGAACAGTTATTTACCCTTCTAAATTTTGTACTTTGTTTCAACGCATCAATTGAAACTGAATTTTGATGTTTTTTATTACATTTTCGAGTTAAGGAAATCAATCCATTACTAACCATCGTGAATGAAACTTATCACGTAGTGTTTATTTTTAGAACTTGAATAAGTGAAATAAGCTGCTAATCTTAAAACAGAGTTTGGTATAAGTTGGATTGCTTTTAAATTATACTGTGAAAAATTAACCCAAGCAGCACACCATATTCCAATATAATTCTAATACGAACTTTATGAATTTCTAAAACTATTACAACTACTATTTATAATATTTTTTCTAAAGTATACTTAATGAGATCTATTCTCTTTGAACTAATGAATTTAGATGTTTTTTAAATTTTAATATTCTATCACAAATAATATTTAATTGAGTTTACTGGAACTATTTGAAGATTAGAAAATTTTATATTAGCATTTTTAAAGTCACGTATTGTTTGTTTAGGTAGTAAATTTGTTCTATGGAAGATGATAAATTCGGTATTCTTGGGGTTAATAATTGTTCTCCATACCTTACGCCATAGTTCCCAATCTGTCTAGGCCAAATTAATATTTTGAATAATTATGGATATTCTTATTGACACTGTACATATGTACGTTGTACAATATGCATATTGAGTCATATATAATGGGTCAAGGAATATCACTTGTAAGTAAAATAAATAAAATGGGGATTGAATACACACCATTTGGAACACCAGCTTTAGAAAAAAATGTTGTTTATTGTAATTATATTCTTTCAATCAGTTAAGAAATATATACTCATTTAGCTAGACTATATGGACATGTAAAATACGAAGGAGATACCTAAACAGAGTATAGTAACACTTTATTAAAGAACGTGATGTTTAACAAGAGATCGTGTTTGTTGTGTAGGTTTTCGTGGATGGATTGTCAGATATAGTTGTACCAGGTGTAGTAATATAACAGTTACTAATCTTACTTATGGTAACTTTTGCAGGTGTCTCCAAGTCACTTGTGTAGGACAAATCATCCACTGACTGACAACCTTTTTCATAAATATCCTGTGTTTTAAATGACAACTCTAGCAAACGCCAGAAACCAATTTAATTTACAATTATACAACTTTGTCGTATTATCCAAATAAAATCGCTCTATGTATCACCTAAGTTATTTCGCAAACAGTTTACTTATTAGCCATTTTGGTGGCTTTACTGGGTGAGTAAAGTCGTTATATTGTAAACTAGTATAACCTCTTAAAGGTCAACACAATTAGAGAAACAGTAATTTGTCCTTGGTGTTTTATGTTTTGTTTTACTAGTGGTAGTTCCTTAAGAATGAGTAAATCACCCGTCAGTTATTAAACCTAACAATATAACCAGTGATGAAATTGTTACTAGACGTTTTCTAATATTCACTTTGTACTCTTTTTATTTGTTTTGATTTTCTGGTAAGTACAGATAAGTATAAATAATGATATACCATAAATTTCTGGAAAATGAAGTCATCAGAGTGGACAAAATCACACTTGGTTTATTCAAGCAAACAAGACGTGAAGGAATCCAACTTTTGACTATATTCTATGGGTTTTAACTTGTTTTTACGTAATTTCGTTCTTTACTGAAAATATATAAAGTGTACGTTTTATAAAGTTTGTCAAAAAATGAAAAATTTCAGAGGGCATATTCAATACTTAAGTTACTTAATTAGCATAATTGACAGATAAGTATATTTTAAACACTGCCATAGTAATATCGTATTTTTCTACTAAATATGCGGTAGATACGCGTATTAAACATTTTGCTAAAGAAACTTACATTGGACAATAAACCGCTTCGTTCAACTTACGACCTATAAAACTCTTCTAGACGTTTTCTCTTATCCATCTAGCTATGCTAATGAGAATTGGCATAGCTCGAAAATGTTGCTTTGATATGTATATATATATATATATATATATATATGCTACACGAAGGTACCGTATTTGTTTTACTCCATCAGTTGATATGTAACATATCAGTAACATAACATATGTAACAGTTGATATGTTTTATTTTAGAGCATTGGTCAAGAGAGATAAAAGTTTTACTTTCCTTTGGTTTTATTTTAGAACATTGGTCAAGAGAGCTATAAGTTTTAATTTCCCTTTGGTTTTATTTTAGAACATTGGTCAAGAGAGCTATAAGTTTTACTTTCCTTTGGTTTTGTTTTAGAACATTGGTCAAGAGAGATAGAAGTTTTACTTTCTTTTGGTTGTTTTCGGGACTGGGTGGCTCACTAAAAACAACGTTCCTCACAAGAATGGATTACTATAATATGAGATACATTAGAGACAGCGACAGTGATCATTTCTCGTGGTAAACAGGTCTTAACAACTTTTGTTAACTTGAGAGCTATCTTCAGTCAGGTGGATAACTCGTGCATCCGTAAAGAGAAGAGAGAGAGTGTGTGTTTGTTTGTATATATATATTGCTGTTTTTCTTTGTTTTATTGAGTTTTTTGCTTTTAGATTTGGTTAGACTTTCCTTGTTTTAGAGAAATTGTTAAAAACTGAGTTAGTTTTTGTTTGAGATTTAGTCTTAATTATAAGTATAAGAGTTTTTCTATAATTTTTCCAGAGATTTTCAACATGACTAATAAAGGATGATACTTTTTCAACTTGTGATAAACTAACTTTGAAGAACTTTGACTATAGTGGAACTTTAGCTCTTAACTTTTGAGAACTTGAATTAACCTTTTTCCACCGTTAAAGACACTTTAAAGACACTTATATCATTTTAACTTTAACTTTGATTTACGTTTATAAGTAAAGATAGCTGCTTTATGCATCTTTTGTGAACCATCTCTTTCTTTGTGTCGGATTCCGTCAAAGTTAAGAAACACAAACCTGTACTTTACAACCCACTATTCGATGGCTCTCTTGTTGCAGGCCCTACCCGTTTACTCTGTGGGAAATCAATATATCTGAGAATATCTCTTCATGATACTTCTAATTTTATTGTGTATTGTACAAATCAAAGTTATTTGTAACAAAACTTGTAAAACGTAACTTAATTAAGATAAAAAGATAATAGAAACAACATAACTTCATTAAGATAAAGCTTAAAGTAAACTTCATTTAACTGAATTATTGCCAATAATTACGTGAAAGAAAACAGTTTTCACTTTTCTAGTTGTTAATTGATGAGGGAATAGTGGTGGGTTTTTAGATGTAAATCAATTTTTATTTAGTTATAGCGACATTATTTGAACCAAAATGCGTGTCAGACAGACACGTTTTATGCAACTTTAAGTTCAAATAATAGTTCAGCAAAAAAAATAAATAAATGGAAGTTCATCCACATTTGTATATATTAGTTGGTTAAGCCTATCACACTCTTAATTCTACACTTAGAAATGAACGTGTTGATGTCTAATGAAAAAATTAATAGCAGGGTAAGTGAAATATGATGCATACAATAGATGCAGATTATTAATGGCCATAGCCAACTTCACCATAATCCAATCTTCCGTGACCATATCTACCATAGCCTAATCTTCCGTAACCATATCCACTATAGCCTAATCCTCCGCGACCATATCTACCATAGTCTAATCTTCCGTGACGATATCCACCATAACCTAATCCTCCGTGGCCATATCTACCATAGCCTAATCCTCCGTGACCATATCTAACATAGTCTAATCCTCCGTGACCATATCCACCATTGTCTAATCCTCCGTAACCATATCCACTATAGCCTAATCGTCCGCGACCATATCCACCATAGCCTAATCCTCCGTGACCATATCCACCATAGCCTAATCCTCTATGAACATATTCACCATAGCGTAATCCTCCGTGACCATATCTACCATAGCCTAATCCTCCGTGACCATATCTACCATAGCCTAATCCTCCGTGACCATATTTACCATCGTCTAATCCTCCGTGACCATATCCACCATAGCCTAATCCTCCAAGGCTACCGTAGTTGGCACTCAGATGACCATACTTGCCATACCCTTGGTGTCCGTATAGATCCCTGGCAACGTAAGCGGCACCAGCATGCCCGTCAAAAACTCCTAGGTTGCGGTGTCCACCATAATCGTTCAATCCATGTTGTGCACCATACAGTCCATGGGAACCACTAACGTTGTGAAAACTGGACTTCTTGTCGTAAGAGTAAGCTTTCTTATACCCATCACTCTTGTTACGGACGTAGTGGTCAACGTCTTTAAAGCCACCACCATAGCCGACATGAGCACCGTGGACATCCAAGTTCCTGTGGCCAGCATAATCATGAAGTCCATGTAATCCATAGCCACCTTGCCCGTGAGCGCCATAGCCACTGTAGCCATCGTATTGAGGTGAAATATATGTCTTTGTTTTATTCAAGTCCTCCTTCTTATCCTCAGCGCCGAAAGCTGCTCCAAGAAGCTGCACTAAAACCACGGCCTACAGATTAGATATAAGAAATTTTTTAACTTAACAACATCTGCATGTGTGTTTGTATGTACGTGTGTGCTTGGGTTAAATTTAACAAACATTATTCAGTTGAAGGTCCCCTATAAGATTAGCTACTAATATTAACATGACGTTTCCCAGTGAACAGAAATGTTTGTTTCTTTCTCTGTGCTTAACATGATCTAAAACTTTTATATGATGGTTTTGGCGAATAAAATTACATTTTAATTTATTAAAAAAAGGCACAAGAGCAGAAAATAATTGTGCTTGTTTATTGTTAAGCACAAAGTTATACAATGTGTTATTTGTGGACATCGAAGACCGATTT